ACAGCCTTTTGACATAGGCCCTAAAGACTTTGGAGCAGATCTTGCAGTGGCCATGTGGAAGCTCCTTAGTATTAGAAGGGGAAAATGTTTAGACATAAATTACTACATGCTGGAAACAAGAAGTGATTAAAATGAATCTCCCACAAAGCAAAATGTGTGTGTGAAGGCTCTGATGGAAGCAACAAAATCCTGACTGGTGTTCCACAGTTCCATGGCAGTAAAGCTCAACATAGCCTTGGTTATATATAAACTGCTGATTTTCTTCTTCCTATATTTCCCCTACATAATTAAAATGCGTGTGTAAATGTCTGTCCTAGCCACAACACACCAGAGGCTGGGAGTGTGGCTTTGTGAAAAGGTGTCATGGATTAGCATGAGTGGGACTCAAGTGCCCGTCAGGGACTGCCATAATGGAGTTGTATAGTGCTGCTCACATGAATGAGGCCCTGTAAGATACTTCATGTGTATGCAGTAAGTCTGGAATTGAGAATGCACCACAGGAGTCATAGGACTAACTGCATGCAAAGCAATCACACACCCATTTAAAGCCCACTCCCTTAAAAAAATCCATCTATGCTCCATTTATAGCACTTATGCTTGCTCAATCAATAAGGGCACATATTCATAGGTTGTCCTTACTGTCCTGCCCTTTTTGTATGAGCTCCTGTTTTAAACAAACTTATTTCCTGACCTAGATAATTGCCTTGGATCACCCACTGACCAATCTATTTATGTACTGCTGCCTGCTAAATATGCCTGACATGTCGTAAAAGGCATTTGTGGTGCTTCCAGTCATTAGCAAAGTCTCATGATAGGATGTAACTATCCTACTGGTGACATATCTGCACAATATAGCCTGAAACCATTAAGCATAGGAGAGATGGTCCGGCACAGAAGACACACAGAGGAGTACTTAAGCAATCATAGCTAGCATTGTGTAGTAATATTGTGCATGGGTGACCATTTCTCACAAGATTGTATGACCACTACCCAGAAAGCGAGGATAACTTGCCACAAACTTGTAAGAGGGTTAAATTGTAATTCTTGTTAACTTGCTGCACACATTCCTGGCAAGTTGTAGACTTGCAGCACAAGTTCTAGTTGACACTTTTTGAATTTGTAGAAAATTTGCTTGGCAAGTCTACAGGAAGAGTCCTGCTGGTCTTAGCAAGAGCTCTGCAAGTGTACAGCACTTTTGCAAAGCATGTTGATCTGGAGACTTGCAATGCAGACTTGCTGTAATTGTGCAACAAAATTGTGAAGCTTGGCAAGTCTGCAATAGTTTAGCAAGTCATTTCCAAACTTGCAGCTCAGTTGCTTGCTATCTGGGTATGGACAATGTATGACAATCTACTTCCGGTTCAGGTGGCTGATGGACTGTATGGCTTCATGACTACTTATGTGGCAAAATGAAGTGCACTTCATGCAAGCTCTATTCCCATTTACTGAGTGACTTGCTTCAAAAATTCTGTATAAAAACAGTCTGCACTCATCTGTGCAAGTTCAGGGAATCAATAAACTTCTGTAGGGTCTTTGTGTCCAGTCGACCAACATTACTTTTACAGCACAATATTACTGTCCTCTCATTTTATTATTCTAAACAACTTCCAGCTTCTTCCAGCTGGTTTAAGACTAAGAGAAATAAATATCTGTTCACATTCTAATTTTAAGCGTTTATGAGCTATGCACACACCACTCTCAAGGATGTGGTCAGACCTAAATTTATTTTTAATCACCCATTCTAAGCAATTATATTTTCATTAAGGATTTGTTGACTGATTAACATGTCATATATAAGCAGTGAATTGTTTGCATCATGACACCACAACTGTGCCTGAAATACATTTTACAGCAGCAGACCATTTGGAGACCAAGAACAAAGCGCTCACTTTGTCAGTGCTAATAAATTGGGACTTTTTTGCAATAAGAGAATACTGGTTGTGTCACTTACCATTTGTTAATAGATATTTGAATTATTTTGCAAATTACATTCCTTTTAAATAGTATATAACGTATATACTCGAGTATAAGCCGAGATTTTCAGCCCATTTTTTTGGGTGAAAAGTGCCCCCCATGGTTTCACATAGGTAGAGAGCTCGAGGAACCTTGTGAGACTATGCCATTCTTAAACTTTATTATCTTTCATTTAAAAAAAAAAAAAGACTACAGGAAAAATATGTTTTTTTTTCCCAGTTTTGAAAAAAGTTGGGAAGAGTTAGAGCACCTGTCAGGTTTATACAGGTGAAACTCGAATAATTAGAATATGGTGCAAAGTTCATTTATTTCACTAATGCAACTTAAAAGGTGAAACTAATATATGAGATAGACTCATTACATGCAAAGCAAGATAATTCAAGCCGTGATTTGTCATAATTGTGATGATTATGGCTTACAGCTCATGAAAACCCCAAGAACCCCAAATCCACAACCTCAAAAAAGTAGATTATTACATGCAATCAATAAAACAAGGATTGTACATAGAACAATATCGGACCTCTGAAAAGTACAAGCATGCATATGTACTCAGTACTTGGTTTGGGCCCCTTTTGCAGCACTTCCTGCAATTACTTTTGCACGATATTCTAATTATTCGAGTTTCACCTGTACTGCTATCTGTGTCCTTGGTAAATAGATTTCCCCTCACAACATGAATGACAGGGGCACGAGCAAAAACAAAACTCAACAACAACAACGCACTGTATTGCATTCTGGCTGCCTCACTGTGTTCAGGGGCGGGAGGGGGCGTGCAGTGCATAGAAGTCAATGGCACTGCAGCCACGCATCCCTCCCCTGCAGTGCGATCGCCCACACCCAAGCGTGTGGCACATTAGTGCCTGCGTTCCGGTCCAACTCTGCAAGCACTATTTTTGCAGATTGCACTGGACCGGAAGTCAGGCACTAATGTGCCACACATTTGGGTGCGGGCGATCGCACTGCGGTCGTGGAGTATGGCTGCGGTGACATTGAATTCAATGCACCACCATGTCCCCTCCCGCCCCTGAACGCAGGGAGCCAGCCGGAGTGCAATACAGTGCATTCCAGAGCCTGCCCGCTCTGGAAAGCACTGTTTGTGGTGTGAACGGCCCTCATAGCCATAGGCCAATAACAATGTGTGGAGGGTAAAAGGCAGTGACAAGATCCAACAATACCAGCAGTATTTTTTTTAATGACAGTGTCTCCTTAAAGAGCCATTAAACTTAATATGCAAGTAAGCGTATGTACAAGATTATATATATTTTTTTATATAATCTTCATAAAACTAGATATATCTGTACTTCAATTTGTGCCCTAAGCCACATTCATACCACAGCGTGCTACAAATACATAACCAGACATTGTGGAAAGTAGCAATTATTCACTATACTTTATTTGTAGTTTTCAGAACTTTTTGGATAACGGTTTGCATATGACGGACTCCATACCTGTATACAGTTCTTCAACATGTTCAAAGGAGCCTCACATTTGCAATGCATTTAAAAATCTGGAAGCTGCGCCTAAACAATGAAACCAGATCTCTTGATTTTTTTTTTCTCTACTTCATTACATCCTGAAATATTACCCTTTCAGGTCTGCATGTAATTACATGTAATAGACATTGTGCATTAAAATGCACATTAAAAAACCTCATAAGAACATCTGCCAAATGTCTTGAAGTTACTAGGGGAAAAAAAATTCAACACTAACAATATTCCATTTCTCCGCTTTGACAAAATACAATTACGTAAACCTTTTGTTCTGCTAATATTTTACATTATTTTGTATATTGCCTAATATGCTGCAACAAGAACAACTGAAATGCGTGCAGTGGTACCTCCCACGTCAAGAAAGCCGCAAACACAAAGTAAACTTATCTATTTGCATCAAACCAATCTCAGAATATGTATTAAAAAAAAAAGCAGATAAACCTTAAACATGAAGTATGCTCTACCTTGACAGATAAAAGACTGATTGCAAAAATGTGTTGACACATTTAGGTAACTATGGATGCATTAACCATATGGAACTTAAGGTGCCCATACACCGTACGATAATCGTATGCGATCGACTTTTCGTACGACAATCGTAACGCGTGAATAGAGTGCCCGACCGATAGTACTGTACAATCGTACGACTTTTGACGGTCAAGCATGTTTGAAAACTTTGGTTGATCGTACGATGTTCGCATGGTTGGTGGCGTTTCCGTCCGTCAAATGTCGTACGATTAACACTGCGCATGCGCAAACGAAAATAATTGCGGTCAATTAAGGCAAGTAGTCCAGGTGTTTTTTTCTAACTACCGCTGATTGAACCTTGCGATAATCGGGGCAGGATGGGGCCGTCGTACGAAAATCGTACGACGGTTCGATCATCGGAAGAAAAGTTTAGTCCGATAATCGTAAGGTGTATGGGCACCTTTACAGGGGTAGAGAGGGTAGCAACAAAGCTCAATAAATGTGTAATTTTCCAACGTATTACCCACTCCTTTGTGATTACTTTCAAATAAAGTCAGCTGAAGACACGGGGAAGTATGTGCATGAGTTGATGCTGAGAGTCACAAGACTCTGTGTGCCTCATGTAGCATACAGAACTGTGCAGTACAGTGGTAAAGCTATTGCTGCATTCAGAGCAGCCTTCTGGTTTCAATATTTTCAGGAATTAAACATTATAGTGGACACAGGTGAGAACTAATATGTGTGGGTCAAAACCAAACCTGGATCAGGCTCACCGGAAATGACAGTGAAGCTGTAGGCTTTTGTTTTTATTTTGATGGAAAAGCATGCCCTCTCCTTCTTAAAAGAAACTAGCCCAGGACAAGAGGGCTTTGAGTGTGCCAAAAGTGACACCAGATTTTAAAAATGCATTATATATAAACCAGAAACTACTCCAGTACACCACTTTATTCAAAAAGAAATCCTCTGTCTTTACTCTGACCTGGACCCATCCTGGTCCAGGTCCACCTTTTACATGCACACAGCAGTACAAGTGTCATTACAGTAAATGCCTTGTGTAAGAACTCTTACCTCTCATAATGCCTACGTGTGCATGTAGCAGCACTAGTACTTCCTGGATTGCCACCTAATTCATCATATATATGTTTCCATTGCCTCCGTGCAGTAATCTGTAGAATAGAAACAGGAGCTTTTATATTAATGATTGTTATATGATTCACATTGTGATATTGCAGTTATATTCTGTGCATGTTGTACAAAGTAGGTTTTATTGAGTAACATAATGCATATGGCCATGGCATGCAGTGGCCCACAGCAACTAGACATTGACATTCATTAGTCTAGCCTACATATGTTTACAGCTGAGCTTCAGGCTAATAAAAACAGCATTTACTGAGTTATGTTTCCATTAACAAGTCATTAAATGTATTTTTAAATACAGCTGGTATAAGACCCTGAATCTGTGTTTAGATCAGCTTCCTGTAACTTCCATGCACACCAACCCTCAGGCAGGGAGGAGGGTCAGAATTTTCTGCCAAAACCAGGATTATATGCTTAAAAGAGTATTGATAAGCCCTATCAGTGTGTTGCTGATGCTGCTTCACTGTCCAATCAGCAGGCTATATCATGGAGTAACCATCACCAAATTACTCTCAGTCAATATGGAGCGGTCTCTGTAGTCCAACTTTTCCTCCACAAGATGTGTGAATGAGTGATGCCCATTGGGATTCTTCCCAAAAGACAAATGTAGGACATAATGGTCCCGCTTCACTGAGGTGGGTTACACCTCAGAGACCTTCGCTCAGAGTCAAAGTCATCACATCAGCGTGGCTCTGGCATCATCAAGGACTGCCCAGCCCCAGGAGAAGGCTGAACTGAAGACACGTCGAAAAGGTAAGTATCCAAAAACAAGTAAAACATACATGCAGGGGTCCTCTGGGGGGGAAGGTGGTTCTATGCTGATATGGGGGGGGGGGGGGGGG